AGCACAACAGCGCTGACCCTGCCTCTCGTGCCCAGGCTGGTGATATCCCCGAAGCCGTGCGGGCCAAGGCATCAGGGCCTGCCGCGCCCGGTGCGCCGGCCCAGGCGGCAGCTCTCCGACGCGATGGCGGCGCCGCTGTCGATGTCGGCCCTCGGCTGCATGGCGATGCCATCTGCGCCGGCTCGGCGGTCTCGCAAGCGGCCAGCGGCTGCTGTGGCGGCTGCCGCTGCCAGCCAGTCGCGGCGCAGGCCGCGCGTGGCGTCAGAGACAGCGGCGCGCCCAGCCGAGAGCGACCGCCGGGCGGTTCGCCGGCAGGAGAGGGCGAACCGCTTCCCTGCACTCCCGCCCTCGGCCCCCCGCCGGGGCTTGACCTTCCTGGAGGAGCAGTCAGTGGGGGATGCGACCAGGGCGGACTACGAGCGCCGGCACGCTGCCTTCAGCCTGTGGGCCTGCCAGCGGGGCCACTCATTGGGGACGCCGACGGAGGTGGACAAGACACTGGCGCTGTTTTTTCACGAGGAGTTCTTGGACGGGGGCGAGAGCAGCGACGCCTGGAAGCTGATGGCGGCCCTCGCTTTCGTGCGCTCGGACCTCGGACCGCGCCAGGGCCGCCTGCCGCGGGCGGCGCGGGCTGCCAAGGGCTGGTCGCGCCTGGCACCGCCGCGGTCGCGCCTGCCGCTCCCTTGGCCCGTGGTGTGCCTCATCGTGGAGGTCCTGTGCCGCAGGGGCCTGGCCATGTATGCATGGCTGACCGCGCTCACGTTCGGCCTGTACTTGAGGCCGCGAGAGGCGCTGGAGCTCGTGCAGGCCCAGCTCATCCCACCAGGATTCACCTCAGCCACAACGATGCACCATTGGTGCGTGGTCCTCCATCTGTTCGAGAGGCAGACCCCGTCCAAGACAGGTGTGTTCGACGAGAGCTTGCTGGTGGACTCGACCTGCTTTCCGTGGATGCCGAACCTCGTCCAGGAGCTGCACCGCCGCACGCCCGCAGGCCACCGCCTGTTCCCAGTCACCTACGCGCAGTGGAACTACCACTTCAAGGCCGCCGTCTCCGACCTCGGCCTGCAGGTCCTGGGCAACTTGACGCTGCACCAGCTGCGGCACGGCGGCGCGAGCCACGAGCTGTACGCGGCGGCGCGGCCCCTCCGCGACATCCAGAAGCGCGGCAGGTGGGCCACCGATGCCGCGCTCCGACGCTACGCCAAGGGCGGCCGCGTGCAGGAGCAGCTGCACCGCCTCCCGCGCGCCCTGCAGCTCCAAGCCGAGCAGGCGTTCCGCGGGATTGGCGCCACCCTATCGGCGAGCTGGCTTCGTGGGTGAGGCACGCCAGGGCCGGCGTCTTCCTAGAAGTCTTCAGCGGCTCTGGGCGGATGTCCGCGGCATGGCGCTTGCGCTTCCGGTCGCAGCATGCCGCTTTTGAGCTGGACATTCGCCACGACACCGACAGCGACCTCCTCCGTAAGCGCATCAGGCAGCTGGTGAGGGGCTGGGTGCGGAGTCG